CCAAAACCCCAAAACCCCAAAACCCCAAAACCCCTTAAGTTGTGGCCAGGTTGAACAGTTTGATTTTAATGTATGAAGCCTTCAAATTTACCTATTCCTTCTAACTGTCCGAGGACGTCTCCTCTTAAGCTTCCTCGGTTTAGATTCTAGATGAATAAAATATCAACAATAGTACTTGGCTCTTCTCCTTCCTTGATAATCGGAAGTTCAGTAGCACTCTTTATGGGGATTAGATCTAAAATATGAGTAAATTTTTACTTTCAGGCTTTTTAAGCTTTGATCTTTTGTTTGACCTCTTTCTAGACCTGCCTGACCGCTTTGTTTTCAACCCAGTTAGTTTTGTATTTGGAGTAGTCTTGATCTTATTCATCAATAGCAATTTCTATTATTTTACATTAAAACTACCTTTTGATGTTTTTCAGCTTTCTGTTGCTTCAACTTTTCTATTTCCTTTTTAATAAAGTCTATCTGAGAGGCGAATGAATCCATGGTGCCCTGAGCCCTTTAGTGAATATTCTTGCTAAAATTACCTTTTCTTCACAGCATTGACATTCTCATACTTTAAGTTGACATTGAACAGCTCTTCTTTGATCTCCTCTAGATGGAAGATTATTAACAGTCCTTACTGCTCTTCTCATTAATAGTCTTGTTCAATGCATCCTTTTCCTTATACATCCTTGTAATATGCCCCTTAGTCTTAATTATTTCTAAAATCATTGTTTAAGCTTACCTCGTTGGATATTTTCAACCTTTTTACTAGGAAATAAGACTAAGAAAACTTACTAATACTCGTCTTCAATTTGGTTCTTTTTATTTATTAACCTCGTAAATTTTTACATCCTGCGATCTGAGGAGTTTCCTGATCTACACATTTTAGTTTTTCACATTACTTCGTTTGCTTGGTCTATAGCGATATGAACATACATGAAGATATGAGTTAGCAGAATAGTTGTACTTATCAACTTGAGTTGTAATTCAGTTAAAAATAGAGAGACAAATATAGACTAAATAATCAGTGGGTACAGTAAATACATCCATGTCACAATCAGATTTTAACCTAATAGCATTATGGGGACTACTAATAGCTTACCGTCAACAACTTTGGAAATATTGTTCTGTTCTTTAATCTTCTCCTCCTTCTCAACCTTAGTAGCGTTGAGTTCTTTTAAGTAGCGCTCTTTTTCTTTCAGAACTACTCTGATTTCCTTCTGGACAATAGGCATGGTCTTGAGTTCTTCATTCGTATCAATAATCTCTTGCCTCACGCTCTGAAGCTTCTGCCTTTCTCGGAGATCATTCTTGGCTAAAGAGTCAGAGAGGGCTTACCTTGGATTAGATTTGTGATATCATTCAAGTATTTTATACTCACCATGTTCTTGCGGAGATCAACCCTTCTGAGATTAGGCTTCTCGTGTAGAAGAGTGAGTAAGATCAAAGCTCCTTCATTTTTGAGCGAATTATTACGAAGGATTAGTGACCTTAAGTTGTCTGTGATGTCAATATCTTCCAAAGACTCATCGGTCAGATAATTGTCGGAAAGATTTATGTACTTTAATCTCGATTCATTCGATCATAACACATTCGCAAGGTTATCAGAATGCTGCTCTGTGATGTTATTATTAGAGAGATTCACAGCATATAATCCTGTATTATTTTCCAGTGCTTCCAGAGCTCTCCTTGCACATTGATAATCGAGCTGAGAACTAAAAATTATACTCTGTTACTTACGAGGCTATTGATAGTTTCTTAAGATTTGTGTTTTGCCACATAGCATCTGTAAAATACTTCATTGTTGGTCCTCTAAGCTTATTCTCATTCATATGAAGTGTCTCTAGTGGGACATTGTTTCGTAAACAATTGTAAATACTCATTGCTCCTACCTGATTGAACTCACACGCTGAGATGTCTAGTTCAAGTAGTTTAAACTTATAGGTCATCAGGAGCTTAGATAAGATAATAATCCCTTCATTTCCTAAAGGATTATGTGAAATATTCAGATTTATCACACTTGTCTTAGGAAGGTAATTCTTGATCACCTCCATCCCATTTGCAGTAATGTTGTTTTCTTTTATATTTAAATGCTTCAAAGTTGAGCAGCCTTCAATGCCATACATAAATTCTTTTATACCTGAATCGGACAGTCTGATTCGGTCAAATTCTTTATGTGCTGAAAAGTCTATGAAAAATTCGAATTCTCCATATTTCAGGATATTCTTAATGGAGTTCCACCCTCTAAGTCCCATTTTGGATCCAATCTGAATCTTAAAACTTGGCTTTCTGCACATCTCCTCTACTGTGATATCATGAAAATCCATTTTTGCAAGGAGGTTCTTCGTGAGTTTGGTTTCTGCCCGCTCTAGGATACTTTTAGAGGTCATAGTTCCAAGATTTTTCTTAATCACAAATCTCCCAATTTGCTTTTCAGCAGGCCCGATAATATCTCAATGAATCTGAGGGCAGTTCTCTTCTATTCCTAGTGAGAAAACTACGCTATCGAGAGCTAGTTCATTCCTTTGCTCATGTTTCAGCTTGAATGTAGACCTCAGTTCGTGAAGACTCATTTCAATGTTTCCATGATGAATCACAGTATCTCTTCCAATAACTTTAGTGCTTTGGCGTACAAGCTGGATTACCCTATGCTTCTTTCTAGGAGGTGATGCTGAAGCATTCAGACTATTCTGGGATCCCAGTGTCCGATTTCTGAAGGAAAACCCATCATCCCAAAATGAACTAGTTACTTCCGTTGGCTTCTTAGCTTTAGCTTTATTCCTTGAAGATTTTAAGGTCGAATAAAACTTCCCAACTTTCCTATTAGGTGAGCTAATTTGGAGCCCAGGAACTTGAGGCGATCCTGGAAGCTTCTTTTTTTGAAAAGAAGACAAAGCAGTCACTGGTCGGCTTCCCTTTTTCGTTTCTATTGATTTCTTAGCCTGTCTCTTGGCTCCAATATCTAAAGCTAATAAGAAACTATTATTAAAAGAATCAAAGAATTCATGCTAAAATCTACCTTCACGAATTGCTGACATTGGTCTTCTCTTATTTAATCATCACATCTCTGTTCCTAAAAGGCTTTCCTTTCTGCTGATCTCGGAGGTAATCCCCTCTTGAAGTTTGTGGTCTAAACCTTGTTATCCCAAATCTACCTCTTGTTTCGTGTATTACTCACTGTGAGAAGTGAATTCTTGACCTTCTTCTCCATTTGTAGGGTCGTTCTATAACCGTAAAACTGATTTGAAGTATTAAGAGTCATGAACTCTTGCTCATGCTCCTTGAACAGAGGTGATCAGTGCTTCTTATTTCTGATTTTCAACCTCCTTATTCAGTACTAATTCAAGATTTTTGTAGTTCTTCATGATCTTATTCATCTTCTTCTGCTTATGAGAAGAACCCATTTCATAGTTTGAACTCTTTCTCTTCATTTTATTATTTTTATAAGAATATCAATTTCTGGGATTTCTAAAGGGGTTTTGGGGTTTTGGGGTTTTGGGGTTTTGGGG